GTCAGTGCTTGCCTATTCATTTTCTTAGAGTTGTCTTTGATGAGATCTTTCCAATTTTAATGTAATACCATTTATCTGTTTAAAAGTGGTTTTTGCTGTCCTAGTCTTGTCTAAGAAAACCTTTTGCACACCCCCATCATGAAAATAGTCTTTAATATTTTCTAGAAGACTTATAGTTTTATGATAATTTCTAAAATAAACCTGATTTCTTTAGAAATTAAATATGCTTCTGCCACATAACCCAAGAATTCTTCTGATAGGTATTTTCCCAAATAAAAACATATGACCAAAAAAAAAAGACTTGTGGTGGTAAGGAGAAAGAACTTGAAGTAGGGTAGTGATTGTGAATATAAAATAGATTAATTTAAGAGATATTAAGAAGGTAAACAAGATTGGGAAAAATTTTTATTCTTATCCATTTCCTTATTATCTAAAAGCATTTCTAATTACATGTGGAGGGAGGCACAAAATAATGAGGGAATAAAGCATATTATACAAGGAAATTTTCCTCTTTTGTCTGACCTCTTTTTATTTTTAAAAAATTTGATTTCAGAGAAGGGAGAGGGAGAGATAGACAGAACATCAATGATTTGAGAGAATCATTGATCAGCTGCTTCCTGCACACCCCCTACTGGGGATCGAGACCACAACTTGGGCATGTGCCCTTGACTGGAATCCAACCTGAGCCCCTTCAGTCCGCAGGCCAACTCTCTAGCCACTGAACCAAACCAGCCAGGGCTCGTTTCAACTTTATGGAAGACAGGAGAGGACATAATCATGAAGGGTAATAGAACCCATCTTTAAAAGTTTAGAACTTTAGTTTGTAAACCATGAGGAAGCAATGGAAATTTTAAGCTGAAAACAATAAGATGACATTTATGTCTCCGAAAGCTCTTCGCCAACAGTGAATAATTGAGGGAGAGTTCAGTTAGGAGTCTATGTTACAACAGTCCAGAAAGGAAATTATAAAGATGCAAGGATAACAGGTATGCAGTAGAAAAAGGATGGACTCTGGATATGGATTACAGGAAGCAGAATTGACAGGACTCAATGATAGGTGAGGACCAAGAACAGCAGGAGTGGATATCAAGGGGTTTTTTTTCCCCTTTTATTTTTACTTATGTATATGCTGCTATAATTTTTGTGACACACAAAAAAAATTAAGAGTAGAAAAAAACTTTTTTTAACAAGGAACTAGATCTCAAAATGTCACCTCCCCACTACACTCTAAATAAAATGTCTTTCTGCTTAAAGACAGCTTATCTAATATATATTATTGATTTGTTAACATTGAATTCACTGCTGAACAGTTTATCTAAAAGAAACTTTGTAAGGCCCATCACAGCCTTCCTTCACTTAAACAATAGACAGCACATTCCAACAATATACCTGGAGGCCTTTACATTGGGGGGGAGGGGAGTAGGGAAGCGGGGGGAGATACCCAAAAACCTGGCACTAAGTATACAAGGTCTCTCATTTCCAGTATGAGAACTGAAAGAGCATCGCCTGGTTTAACCTCAACTGGGGAACATGCGCAATGGGCAACTCAAATTTTTCGGAATTCTGCACATCTGCAAAAGTGCCGTGAGTATCGATTTGGAATTTCAAAGATTAGCGAGTAAATAAATTCGTAAATACAGACTTGACATATAAAAGATCGACTGTGGGTGTGCTTACTAAACAGTTCTCAACCTATATAATAACAGGAGAACCAAGATGGCGGCATAGGTTAACGCGGGAATTTGCTGCCTTGAACAACCATTTCAAAAGTGAAAGTAAAAGATGGAACAGACACCACCCAGAACCACAGGAACGCTGGCTGAGTGGAATTCCTACAACTAGGTGGAAAGAGAAACGCATACGGACACTCAGAGGAGGCGCAGTGCTGAAGTCAAATTCTGAGGTGCAGAGTGCGTGGAGCAGGCTGGTGGCGGAGGGTGCGGTAGGCGTTTTCAATCCGGAGGGAGTCGCAGACTCTGAGCTCCAGATACG